AAGCTCCTCTGAAACCTGTCTATCATGAGTGAATTTACTAGTGTGTGAAATACTGGTGGCAGAACTTCCAATATCACAGCAATACACTAGCCACTATAGTATGACACACTGATAGCTACGTGGCAAAATAGTTAAATAGATTAGCTTAAAACAGAACAATTATCTACTCAATTTCTTCTAGCTACCTGGATCCATTTTTCCCTTCCTCTCTTAGCCAGCTGTTTGAAAGTATACTCTATATTAGGTTTTTAATTTTTTTAACCATTTTCTTATTTATGATTCACTATCATTGAATTCACTGTTTTCTTAATTTTTTTCTTTTTTGATTCAATTAAAAATATATATAACAAAATATTTGTCAGAGTAATTTATATGTATGTGTGTATGTATATATGTGTGTATATATGTCACTGATGTTGATTACATTCATTACATTGTGCAACCAACACATTACAGACATTAAACCCTTATCAGATAATATGGGTCCTGAACATTTCTCCCAGCCTGTAGATTGTCTGTTCACTTTATGGATAAAGTTTTAAGTTTTTATTTATCTATTTTGTCTTTTGTTGCTCTTGCTTTTGGTGTCATATCTCAGAATGTGCTGTAAGAACTAGGTCCCAGAGTAATAACCCTATATATTCCTCTTGACCCTGTTATTTTTACATCAGTCATACCTGTTTCAGTCTTTATATTGCTTATTACCTGTATAGCATTTGACACTGTTGACCACTCCTTACTTCTTAAACTCTTTGCTCTTTTGCCTTCTTTGATCACATTCTGTAACGATGTTCCAGGAACTCTCTTAATATAACCAGAACCTAATACTTTCAGGTGGTGATATTGGGCACATCTCCAGGTAGTTTGGTGTGTTGAAGATTAAAGTTAAAACCTTTTTCCTCTGAGATTTTCTTTGCTATTGACAGTTTCACAATCATTATTGCTGCTACTGAGCTCTGTTGGTGCAGTGGTTAAAGCATTGGGCTGTTAACCAAAGGATGACAGGTTGAAGTCACCAGCCGTTCTATGGGAGAAAGATAAGGCAGTCTGCTTCTAAAAAGATTTAACAGTCTTGAAAACCCTATGGGGCAGTTGTACTCTGTCCTACTGGGTTGCTAATGGTTGGAATCGACTCAGTGACAGTTGGTATTTTGGTTCATTTCTGCTGCTATTATGATGTTCAGCTGAGTGGTCAGTGGTAGGACAGAGCACTCTTGCCCCTTTTAATGTTTGGTTCAAATGTGCTTTCTCAGGTCTTTCCTTACTTCCTATAAAACACTAAGGCCAAAGGAATATTTTTTTAAAACAGACTTGCTATTGCATTTTTAATAAAGTCTTCAAAAATGTTCTTTTTTTAACATTGTGAAGTTGAGTTCTTTGATGCGTTGTTATATAATAATGAAAGATTAGAAATACCCTAAAGGTCCATAATAATACATTACAGTATATCTCAACATAAAGAAAACAAAAATCCTCACAACTGGACCAATGAGCAGCATCACAATAAATGGAGAGAAGATTGAGGTTGTCAAAGAATTCACGTTGCTTGGTTCTACAATCGATGCCAACGGAAGCAGCAGTCAGGACATTACACGATGTGTAGCATTGGGAAAGTCAACTGCGAAGGAACTGTTTCAAGTGCTGAGGAGCAAGGATATCTCATTGAGGACTAAGGTGCGCCTGACACAAGCCATGATATTTCCAATCACCTGGTATGCATGTGAGAGCTGTACAATGAATAAGGAAGACTGAAGAAGAGTTGATGCTTTTGAGTTGTGGTGCTGGCGGAGAATGCTGAAAGTACCATGGACTGCTAAAAGAACTAACAGATCTGTCCTGGAGGAAGTGCAGCCAGAATGCTCCTTGGAAGCAAGAATGGCCAGACTTCGTCTCACCTATTTTGGTCATGTTGTCAGAAGGAGAAGGATGTCATGCTTGGTAGGGTGTAGGGTCGACGAAAGAGGGGGAGGCCTTCAACGAGATGGATTGATACGGTGGCTTGGATGATGGGCTCAAGTATAGCATGGATTGTGGGGCTGGTGCGGGATCGGGCAGTGTTTCGTTCTGCTGTGCACGGGGTTGCTATGAGTCGGAAACGACTCGACGGCACTTAACAACAACAATGCTGTGAGATATGAGGCAATTATGAAAAAGAATGAAGTAGACCTATATGTACTCACAATGTATAGGAAAAAAGTCAAGTGGAAAGTCGTTTTTTTGTTTTTGTTTTTTTAAATTTTTATCCTGATTTGGGTGAAAGTTTATAGAGCAAATTCACTTTCCATACAACAGCTCACATACACCTTGTCTCATGACATTGACTGCAATTCCCCACAATGCAACAGCTCCCCTCCTACTTCCTCCCCAGTTACCTCTTCCCTGTGTCCTTCCCTGCTATGCACTCCTGCCCCCCAAGCTGCATACACAGCCCTTCTATTCTCCCATGATTGACCTTTGCAAGGAGTGTATCTGCCTAATGTAAATGTTCAGCTCATAAGCCTGTCTTTTGTTAGGCTGGAGGTCACAGGAGTGGGTTTAATTTCAGACTTGATGGGCAGCTATGGAAGGTTCTGAGCAGTTCCATCAGGCTCTATCAGATCAGCAAACCTGGTCTGTTTTTTTTTTTTTTTTTTTTTTTAAATTGTTCTACCACTCTATTCAGGATCTCCTACATAGATTCCCCTCTGAGTGGTTGACAGTGGTAGCTGGGCACCATCTAGTTCTTTTGGTGTCATAATTGTATAGGCAGAGGATTGCATGGTAGACAAGTTGCTTGGACTAATTGTTTCCATGTATCTTTGGTTTTCTTCATTCTTCTTTGCTCTGGATGAGGAGAGACCCATCGTTGCATCTAGATGGCCACTTATGAGCTTTTAAGGTTCCAAATGCTACGCACCAAAGTAGGATGTGGAACAATGTTTTTGTGTTGTATGTCATGCCAGTTGAGCTTGATGTCCCCTGTGGCTATGGTCCCAAGCACCCAGGTCCAACTACTCACTTCCTCTAGGTAGCTGGCTGTGGCCAAGAAGTGACTACAACCTTGTCTTTTGTTAGCTCTACCGTATACCTGGGAATTCTTACAGAACATACAGAGACACTTGTAGAAACATTGTCTGCCAACCCTATCCATGGTCTTGGTCACACTCCCCCTTGCATAGACATACCTAATAGTTCATCCTGTCCACCCATCTATCCACCCATATATCCATGTTTGCCTTCACTGACAATGCAGTACTGTATGTCTTCCTCTTCCTCAATGTCACCGATTTTGATCACTCACATTTTGGACATTGTCCTTCTCGTCACCAAAATCAGTGCTTGTCTCTACCTATCGAACAGTGTTTCCTCCCCTCCCCTTCCACTCCTGGAAACCAACAAAGAAAATTTCCTTCCATATATAAACCTTTCCTTGACTTTTTATAATAACAGACTAATATAATATTTGTCCTTCTGTGATTGACTTATTTTACTCAGCATAAAGTCCCCCAAGTTCATCCATGTTGTACAGTATTTTGCCAGTTCTAAGTTATTTGTTAGGGTTGCATTGTATTCCATTGTGTGTATGTATCATAGTTTGGTTATCCATTCCTCTGTTGATGAGTACAAGGTGGTTGTTTCCATTTTTTTACTATTGTAAATAGTGCTGCAACAAATGTGGGTGTGCATATATCTGTTCTTGTCCTGGGTCTCACTTCTTTAGGATATGTACCTAATAATGGAATGTCTGCATCAAATGGTATTTCTAATTTCAACTTTTTAAGGAATTGTTATACTCCTTTCCATAGTGGTTGTATCATGTTACAGTCCCACCAGCAGTGTATGAGTGTCCCAATCTCTCCACAAGCTCGCCAGCATTTATTTTCTGTCTTGTTCAGTGTTCAAGTGGCAAGTCATTTATATTATATATACACACACACATTTGTATGTGTATGTGAAAAAGAAGAAAATCTAAGTATATAGTTCTATATAAATGTTTAGGACCAGAAAATGTCTTGGAATGTACACATCTGGAATGATTTCCTCTGAGGAGTGGGAATGGAGAGTTGAGGAGGTTATGGGCTACTTGAGCTACTTTCTTTCTATATTTTTATTTTATTTGAAATTTTTAAGTGAACATACATTCCTTCTCTAATTGAAAATAATGGTTTGAGAATTTTTATAAGAGAAGTAATATCCTTTTGACTAATTCTTATTTGGCTTCTTCACTTCTTTTAGCTTCTTGGGCACTACTCTTTTCTTTTTGAGTTTCCTTCTAAACTCTAATTACTCTCAGTCTCCTTAATCATTCATAGTCTCCTTAGTGGCTCCTCATATTTCAATCCTGTTTATCCTTCACGAGTCACCTTTGGTTCCTGAGGAAGTATTTCCAGACCTTTAAATCTGATTTTATTACCTTTCCTCTGTGTTCCTATGGAACCTTGGGAAATCTTCCTTAATTACTGGTCTCTAGGGCAGGAATTGTATTATTTGACTTTGTATTCCACAAAACTGAGCACATTACCCACAACATGGTAGAAATTCATTTAAAAAGTTCTGAATATTAAAATTAATAATAATAATAATAATAATAATAATAATAATAGAATTTGAGGTAGATCTCCTTAATATTGGCTTATCCTTTTGTGTTGGTTATAATTTTATTCCATTGTTTTCTTGACAATTTGGGTGAAGAGACATATTTTAATTAAAGTTAAGTTTATGTCTCAAGATATATTGTGGTTAGTTTATAAGCTACCCAATACAATACTGGGCAATTTATTTAAATACAATATGATTTTTTCAATTATCATTAATAGATAAAAAGATGATAATTTCATACTTAGTTGTAGCACAAAGCATAAATATAGGATTTTTAAAAAAATATGTTCAAATACATTAATTATTGACAGCCTCTGTGCATGTGCTTAGAAAATGTCTAACCATGATTCAAGAATAAGAGTGAACAAAATAATTTTTCTTCTATATCAGTTGTTTGTGTAACACTTCATTTTCTCTTTTAGGTTCAACAAATAGATCGTGTCGTAGAAGTTGTGGAGGAAACAATTAAAGGTAGTTGTTGAAAATGAAGTAAACACATGCATATTTTCTGAACAATGCTATAAATGTAATGAAACAATTTACTCTTTTAGCAACTTCTGCGGTCTAAAATTGATCAAACATGCAATCAAGGTGTTTTGATAATTTTGGGGAAAGCTGGAAGAAAGAAGAAGGATCGGCAGTTTGAACCTTGGCCTTAGTGAGTGAAATACACTGGAGATCATGATAGAATTTTGCAAGAATCATGACTTATTCATTGCAGTTATCTCTTTTCAACAACAGAAAAGTGACTGTACACATGGACCTTGATGATGGAATAAAGTTGATTCCATCTGTGGGTAGAGATAATGGAGAGACTTGTTATCATGAGTCAAAACAAGGCCAGAAGTAGACTGCTGAAAAGACCATCAATTGCTCATGTGCAAATTCAAGTTCAATCTGTTGTTGTTGTTGTTGTTGTTGTTATGTGCCATGGATTTGGATCCAACTCATAGCGACCCCTCCTTGGGTTTCCGAGGCAGTATCACTACAGAAGTAGATTGCCCAAACTTCTTTCCGAGGAGTGGCTGGTGGGTTTGAACCACCAGCCTTCTGGTTAGCAGGCAAATGCTTTAGGCACTGTGCTACCAGAACTCCTGACTTGAGTATATTCCACCTGAATTTAGAGTCTATCTGAAGAATAGATTTAATGCATTGAACACCAGTGACCGAAGACCAGAAGAGTTGTGGGATGACATCATATATGGAGAAAGCAAAAGGTCATTTAAAAAAAAAAAGAGGAAAGAAAGAAAACACCAAATGGATGTCAGAAAAGACTCTCACTTTTGCTCTTGAGCCTAGTGTAACTAAAGTGAATGAAGAAACAATGCGAAAGAACTGAAAAGAGTATCTCAAAGGGCGGCTCGAGAAGAGAAAGCAAAGTATTATAATGAAATGTACAAAGACTTGGAGTTTGAATACCATAAGAGAAGATAAAGCTTGGCATTTCTTTTTTTTTTTTTTTT